GTACCAATGCCCTGGCTCATAAGCGTCTTTCTTGCCTCCTGCCACCCAGCTTTGCTATTCCTTTGAGCTTTCTACTTGTTTCCACCTCCACCCAGGTGCACCCCACACCAAGTCAAGTTGGGTAGCCTGCACTCCTCTCTTCTGCGCCACCTACTGGTGGCTTTGGACCTAGCAATAAAGGTGACTGGTTCCCATGGAGGCATCTGGGGGTAGAACTGCTGCCAGGTGGTACCCCCCCAAGGGGTCAGGCAGCCAGCGGCCCACGGGGAGCACCCTGCCTGATTCTACCACCCCAAAGCAGGCACCAGGCTGCATGCCCCAGGCAGCGTTCACTCAGACATACAATCGTATCATTAGGACAGAGCAAGCCACAGGATAGTGGGTCAGGGAAGCAGCTCACGGACGGCTGAGGAGTCTGGGACTCTAAGTAGAGATCGGACTGTGTGGCAAACCTTTTATTCTTTCACCAGCAATATCTATTATAATTATTTTAGTTTATATTCCACCTTTCTCACTAGGATCCAAAAATGGATTACAAGCATGATAAAACAGAAGCTAAAAAACCACCCAGTAGGCAGAGTCCAGAATGGGATAACATCAAGCAATCAGTAAGTAGATTACAAGTTATTAAATATTTGAATCCAACAGCATGGGCGTAGACTTTCCAATTTCCTGGGAGGGGGGGCTGGGCTAGAGGCACTGCTAAGTCATTAAAAGAACTGGGACTGAATGACATCATAGGGAGGAGCTAGTGACATCACAGGCCATGGTCACTATCTATGGAGGTGGAGCCATGTGGGATTTAGGGACAGGCTCCCCAGAGATTTAGGGGGGGCCTGGGAACCAATGTTCCCTCTAAGCTGCGGAGTCTCATGAGCAAAAATTCTACTTTGTGAGCTACTGGCATTAAAGTCGTGAGCGAGCGATTTGGCTCCTGCATAACTTAGTTTGCTCTGGAGCCATCCTTCCTGAGCCAAGACAGAAATGTGTGAGCCGGAGGCTAAAAAACTGTGAGCTAGCTCACAGTAACTCAGCTTAGAGGGAACACTGCTGGGAACCCCCCTAGCAATGCCCCTGGGCTGGGCTGACCCCAAGAACAGGTGCCTCCTTAGCACACTGCTTAGAAACTCCACCTTAAAATGCAGACACATTCAAAATAAATAATTAATAAAAATCACATAATTAAATTTATGGGAAATGGTTGCATTCCTATGCATGTTTAATTTCTGCTCTTCAGGTTCAACTTGCATAACACATTTATCTACACACTTATCTACAAAAGTCTACACAATACTTTTTCTAGTTGTAGGAAGAGTTCAGTAAGTGAACAGTTATGGGTTGGATCCTTTTTGCCGGTGAAAAAGGAAGGCAGGAACATATCTGGTCACCAAAAGGGAAATGCCGGTGGCTGCAGAGTCTGCCTGAGCAAAAGTCAAGTGGGAGGGGGCTGCAGCGAGGAGGGGAGCTGGGTGACATAGAGAAGGAAAGGAGGTGGTGTCCATACTTAAGACTTCTTTTCTGGCATCAAAAGGAATGATTACTTTATAGGTTGGATCCATCTAGCTTTTCCATCCAACCTTGCCAAATTATCCTTTTCCCGATGGCCACTCTCCCACATGGGTGTTCCCCCCCCCCCCCCCCCCGCACCCCCACCAGGACCCAGCAGCATAATAGCCCTCTGGGGTAGACGAACAGAGATCCGCCCTCTCCGTTTTGCCAGCTGAAAAGCTGGGTGGGGCGGAAAGTGAGGGGGACTATTTATTCAATCAAATTTATATCCTGCTCTCCCTCTCCCCGGAATGGGACTGGAGATGAGTTACAACGAATAGAATACAACCAATAAAATTACCAAAAACACACACAAACCACTTAAACACACAAAGCGATTAACAATCTTTCCCTGATAAAATCTGTCCACTTGGTCAAGCAGGGCACAATGCAAGGATGCGAGGATCAGGAAACACACACAGGAGCAACGGTGGCACACAGAGGCCAGCTCTACCCCCCCACACACACACATGGCTGCCCAAGGCAAGCCTTGGGAGGATCAGGAAACACACAGGAGCAACGGTGGCAAGGTGTGCTCCCCAGCCAGCCAGCCAGCCAGCCAGCCACCCCGAGGCCGGCGCTCCTCCACGGAGGCCCCCCCCACCTCCCCGCATGGCTGCCCAAGGCAAGCCTGGCAAGGAGCGGGAACCACACTTGTGGACCTGTTTACCCCTGGGGGAGACTTGGTCATTCCCAGGAAATTTTGGGGATAGCCTCAGCCCCTCAGCCCCCCCCCCCTGTTGACGCCTATGTCTAACAGCAAGGATTCCTAGTCGGATAGGTGGAGGAGTGGGGAATCAATCCCGGTTCTCCCAGACTAGAGTCTGCGCACTTAGCCACTACGCCAAACTGGCTTGTAAGCCTGTCTATCCATCTGCTCCTGTATCTGATGTTTAAAAGTGCTGTTACAGTGTTCAGTTTGCATTCCTGTCCCAAAGAACGCGTTCCAGAAGTGAGAAGGGAGGCCTGAGCGTTCCGAGGAGGAGTCCTTTGGCATTCTTGGAGGCAGGAGGAGCCCACAGAGCTGCACAGGCCGCGTTTCCAGACAAGGGTTCTTTTCTGCCAGACAGCACGAAAGCAGCAGGGGCAAAGGGGGCTCTGTTTTCCACCGAGAAAGTATCAGGGCAGAAAGAGGCCCCTCAAGAGAGTCGCTCTGCAGTGCTGAGCTGACACGAAAGTAGAACCACCAACAGGCCTAGAGCCCCAATGCTCTTAAAGGCACAGTGCAGCCAATTTATTTGCCTCGAGAGGCAGTCAATTGGAGAGAGAGAGAGAGAGAGAGAGAGAGAGAGAGAGAAACACCTCCCTCCTCACTGGCAACCTGGCAAGTGCTTTTGTGGCCTACCCTTGACCTCTGGCCCTGAGAGATTTACTTGACAGTCTGGAAAATATCCTTGCCAGCCATCATACTGGTAAACCTCAGTGTTTCCTAGCCTTAAAGCAGGACTCCCTGCTTTAAAATGCTCATACAGCTTGTTGTTCCTTCTTGTTACTTGTAATCTTTATCTGCTATCGATTCAGTGACCAGCTCTGCCTAATTCCTAATGTCCTCAGAAGCAACTTTCCCTTGGATGCAGAATGGCTTTCAGTGGAGTGGATACTAAGTGGATACATGCTTGGTTGTTGCTTTCTACAGGCTATACGAAAGGACAAAGCCACCACTGTGACCTTCACAATCCTTTGCAGTAGGTAAAGGATCAAAGGATCAAGTTCTTGGAACTAATACTTCACACACCATGCTCACCTAATACAATTACAAACCATACAAACTGGACTATTTTGCTCAAGAAAACAAAAACTCCGCTGGTATATGTCAAGTATCCTTTTACAATGTAAGAGGCCTAGGCTAAAATAAAAAAGTAAATACCCTCCTGAGTTCCCAAAGCATTTATTATTAATGGATTTATTCCCCTTGCCCTTGACTCAGAGTCTCAGAGCGGCTTACAAACTCCTATCCGTTCCCCTCCCCACAACAGACACCGTGTGAGTCTGAGAGAGCTCTGACAGAAACGGCTCTTTTTCAAGAACAGCTCTGACAGGACTATGGCTTGCCCAAGGTCATCCAGCCAGGTGCAAGTGGAGGGGGAGTGGGGAATCAATCCTGGTTCTCCCAGATTAGAGTCTGCGCGCTTAACTACGACACCAAACTGGCTTGTAAGCCACTCTGAGACTCCTTCGGGTACTGAAGGACGGGGTATAAATCCAATCTATCTCTCTCTACAATTCTATATGGAACAATGGCTTAATTTAAAACATTTCTATCTTGCCTTCCCTCCTCAGACTCAAAGCAGAGAATGATGCAACTCCCAGGTCGCAAGGACACAAGTTACAACAGTGCAATTAACAAAACTAACACACACATTAAAATACACAAGCTACAGATTTAAAAGTCCTGGAATTTAAAGACACAGAAGGGTAAAATGAGCATAGCCAAATCTGCTGAAACAATTTAACCTCCAACAAATACCTTCTGGAATAAGACTGCCTTACGTGCCTTCCTAAATATAGGAAGTGAAGGAGAAAAATTTCCCATCCCTTTAATAGAGCCTTAAAGTATGGAAATGGGCAGTTGGGATAACATCCCATTAAGCCTCTGCTAAAGGGACAGGGCATTCCTCCCCCGCCCGCCCCCCCCACCCGCCCCTGCTGCTGGCAACCCTGGAAGGCTTACTCTGCCCGACCACGGCAGGGGACTGAGCCCACCGGGGTAAAGGCCAGTGATCTCGCTGTAGCCCCAGGGACAGTCCCAGTGGAGGGCACCTTCGGGAGTGGCCCATCTGCGGAACACACATATTTATTTATTTATTAGATGTATTTGATTGACACCCCACACTCCCCGCCAAAGCAGGCCCAGGGGAATATACAGAGAGATGCCGTTCACTAAGCATGAGGTCCCTAGGCTGGATAGGGCTTTAAAGGTAATAACCAGCACATTACATTGGGTTGGGAAACAGACTGGTAGCCAGCGCACTTGATGTACCACTGAGTTGTCTGTTCCAAGCAACTGGCCCTAGAGAGGAGCCCTGCATTTTGTACCAATGGGAGCTTCCACTATGTCTTCAAAGGCAGCCCCACATAGAGTATGCTACAGTAGTCCAATCTGGAAGATAAGGAAGTATATAGATCAGTGTAGCTAGTCTGGCAGAATCTAGGTAAGGGCTCCACTCAAGCTTACATACAACTGAAAGAAGACACTTCTAATAACGGCATTAAATATCCTAAGGATATTGGTTTCAATGCATAGTTCTCGCTAATAAAAACCTCACAATATAAAACAGGAAATCCTGCAAAACAATACAAGGAAGAAAGCAATTTTCAAACTCCCATGAGGAAGAGAAGCAAGCAAACAAACAAGCAAACAACCCCCCACAACATACCCCACCCTCAAGTGGAGGGGTCCATTCATACAATGGGCAGAAATGGTTATACGTGTCTAATGACTGGTTACTAACCCTCAGGCTTCCGCGACTACCCACTGACACGCGCTCATCTTCATCTGAAACCTACAAGGAAAAAAGGGAAGAGGACAGCGGAGACTTTTTTTAAAGAGACAGGCACACTTCATATTGTGAGACAGCACACCACAGGAAATCCAGGGATAATTTTTTAAAAGCCCTTAGGGGGTGAGCGGTATATAAATTGAAGGAATAAATAAATAAATAAAAGACAAAACATAAAGAAAGCCTGAGTAGAAATGTAAAATTTCCCGATATTTTGAAGCTCGGGAAAAAAACCTTTTCGGGGGGAAATGGAAATTTTCAGAAAAACTGAAAAAAATGCTACATTAGCATTTATTTTGTCTTTTCTAGATTGAAAGTCATTCTGTTACTTTAGGAACATAAAATATGACTATGGACATTTTTACTTGGCATGAAATTATCACAACTAGCATATTAAAAATATAGTGTATCCAAACAATTATTTCAAACAGAATACCCACCCACGTGCAAAAACAAATCTGAAACTTTTTTATTTTCTTCTGACAATCGCACCTCCTAAAGGAAGAAATGCATCTTGTTCTTGCATTGGAGGGTTCAGTTTGTAACCTAGGACTTGCTTGTCCTCAGTACACAGAAATTAGATCAATCTGATAACATATATATATTTTAGAAATGATTTGGAAAATATTTGAACACCTTGTTTTAAAATAATTTATTCATCATGTTAAAATAAAACGTTCCATAATCAATTTTTTCCTTTTTTCAATTTCTCCAATTTTTTTGAAAAAAAACAAAAAGGTTTCAGGAAAAAGACTGAAAAAACCCATTTCCCACCCGAATTTTTCCGGTTTTTTTCCAGGCCTTCACATCTCCAAGCCTGAGAACTACCCCCCCCCCCCCAAACGTACGGAGTACTTCATGTACATCGCAGGACACGGACACACAATCAGAAACAATACGTACACAAGTAAAATGTATCATTTACTGCCATATAAAATGTATCATTTACTGCCTTTATAGACATCTCACTTTGTGTTACATTTTACAGCACTGTGATCCACTAAAGCACTCTGGTTGTCAGACATCACACTTCCTCCCCCATGCAAATCTTCCCACTTCTGAGTATCACCCATCACTTTGCGCATGCAAAAAACAACAACAGTAGTAGTCTTTACTGACACTCGTAATTTCTTCTTCTTTGAAAACAGGGTATGAAGTTGGCTATAGTTTGTGGGTTAGAAAACTATCATCAATGCAAACCACGGTTAGGCCAGTTCATGGTTCAGGGCGTTGGGCGGAGGAGGTGGGGTGGGGTGGGGGAGTCTCAGCAAGAGAGCCGAAGGAACAAGCGTTCCCAGAGCCTCCCCTTGATTTCTTAACTTTACACAAAATAATGCAGAATTTTGTTTTTGATACATATGTAGAGTTCCCCTCTGAAAGAAGAATTTTATTCATTTAATTTTATTCATTTTAAGTACAACATATAAACAGTACTAACCGAGGTATATCTTCTGGATTTACGGTTGTAACGCTCAGTGTCTTCCTACCAAGGAGGAGGGGAAGATAAAATGTTGTCAGTCAGGAAACACTCTGTCATGTCACTTTGGATTTATGAACTTTTTGATCTCGGAACTTCATTACGTTCCTGCTTCAGAAATCTCGGGTGCATATGAGACCTTGTGAGGCTGTTTGTTCTTCCCTCCCCAAGCCCCCCCCCCTGCACATTCTTCTATGCTGTAAAACTGTAAGACAAGGAATTCCGTTGGCCACAGTTTAAAGCACTATTGTTCAGGAACCAGGAAGTATGTTCTGATCTCCAAGTATATACGGCACACATTTGCTATCTGTACAGGCAACAGAGACAAGCACGATTTATGCTCTCTGCCTTGCTACCTCCCCCCAGGAACAAAAGTATATGGGTGTTTGGGGGAAATGACAAGCAGCCAGAAAGCAGTACAGAGGTTAGGTGAAGGTGCTCTGAATTTAATCATGTACTATTTTTATTTAGCAAATTCTTGTGCCACGCTTCCAGAGAACTCAAGGTCATCTCTACTACAATGTTACGCCTAAAGAATCCCTTATGTCTCACTTCTTCCCTTTCTGTACTTATGACCGTGGCTTCTCTTCTAGTGGGTGGTCAGTGAACCTGGGACTGCGGGGGGGGGGGCGGACGGACAGGCTGTTCCTCTGGCCACCAGCGGGAGGAGGGGAGAAGCCGGGACATGGAGGTGCCATCAGTTCTCCCAAGGAAACGCCAGAAAACCCCTACTGGGGAAACTGATGGCCTGCACGGTTTCTTTTGCTTGTTTTGTTCCTACCACCACTCGGAGCAGTGGTGGGGAAGGCAGGCCTGGAAGCCACAGGTGGTGGCAGCAGCAGCCAAAGAGGTGGGTAAGACCAGGGGACTTGGGAATCCCATGCAGCTGCAGGCCTTGAGGAGATGGAAAACATCCTTGTGGAGGAGAATGCAGGTCTTGGAAGCTTCCCCCGCCCCGTGCTGGAACGGACCTTGCTCCGGCTGCCGGTGGTTCTGAGACAGCAGAAAACAAGAGGACGCACGCTCTGGCCCTTGGTCAGAGCCAGGAGGGCCACACGGCACAGTTCTCTCACTTCCATCCACGCAGGAACAGCCCGGTCCAATGGCCTACAGATTTTAACCATCAAAGTGGTTTTCCCTTCCCCCGTGCACCTTGTCTTTGTAAGCACCTGAGGGCAGAGCCTGTCCCTCTTGGGAGGCAGCTCTCAGAAAGGGAGATTTAAATGCAACAAATATATATCTCTCCTTATATATAAAAGAGCTTTGGTGTGACTCTCTCCTGAACATTCAACATGCTTCCACAGCCTTTGGACCCCTGACCTGCGCATTGCCTCCCTCCGTTGCCTCAGTCCCACCCACAGTCCCCCCGGGCAGCGTCTCGCCCTCAGTCTGCGGGGAGCCGCTGGGCGGGATCGACACTCCAGCGGCTGGACGCATCCGAGCCCCAATCCTGCTGGTGTCTCAGTGTTCATCGTTGGCTGAGGCCAACTCCAGGTAGCTGGACGCCCTGCTGCTGGCCGGGGGCCGCCCCTCCACCCTGCAGTCTGCGGAAGGGAGAGAAACCGGGGACTAGAGGCTGATCCTCCCACCGTTGTGCCCGTTGTCGCTCCCCGAGGCCCAATCCACCTCACCACCCGCCCTGCGGCTGCACAGGGGCCAGCGTCCCACTGGCCCGCAGAGTGCTCTAGACAGCCCCGATGCTGCCACCGCACGGCCGGCAAGGGAGACAGTGCCAACCTGTTCCATCACCCCTCGAGCCTGGGGTCTCGCCAGGGGGGCGACAGCATGGGGCCAGCCCTCATTTCGCTCGCGGGTTACGTGTGGCCCAACCGCCATGCCGGGCGGGGGGCCCTCACGCCAACACCACTCCTCTTGCTGCACCGGCTGTCGGCAGCCCACAGCCTCTGCGCGTGGCTGCCCTGCAACCCCGCAGGTGCCGCCGTGCTGCCTGGGCAGCCAGCGGTGGAGCCAGCCCGGATGATGCCTGCACCCGCCTAGGGACACTGTCGTGGCCAGTGCCACCACAGCATGGTCTCCGCGGTGCGTCCAGGGCGGGGGCGCACAGAGGTTTCATGTCCTTCTAGGGCTTGTTGTATTGGTCCTACAATGGGCTTTCCTCCTAGTAATAAGTATACAACGTGATTAATGTTCTGCAAGAAAAGTAACTAAACACATATGAAGCGCATTTCCTCCCATGCTTAGCCAGGAATATTTTATTTTCTGAGAGCACCTTGTAAGTGCCAGATTTATGATACAGGAGACCCAGCTTCAGATCCCCACTTCTGCTACGGAAGCTTGTTGGATGACCTTGGGTCAGCCACACCCACTCAGCCTAGCCGACCTCACAGGGTGGTTGTGAGGATAAAATGGAGGGGAGAACGATGGGAATCACTCCGGGTTCCCACTGGGGAGAAAAGCAAGGTACAGAGAAAGTAAATAAATATCTGACATAGCTGGTTTTTCCTTGGAATAGCCACAGTACATCCAGAACAGCAATATTTAGGTAATGCAGAGTATACTTAATTAGACACATGTAACCTTTTCCTCTACCTTTTTTTTTTGGGGGGGGGGGATCATGTTGCAACCAAATTATGGCGACCCCATAGCGTTTCCGAGGCAAGAGATCTTCTGAGGAGGTTTTGCCTTTGCCTGCCTCTGCATACCGGCCCTGGCCTCCTTCTCGGGGGGGGGGCCTGCCATCCCAATGTTGGCCAGGGCCGACTCTGCTTAGCTGCTGAGAGGTGACCAGGCCTGGCTCTCCTGGGCTAGCCGGGTGCAGGGCTTTTCCCATACTCCATTTTGTTAATGACAAAACAGTGACCCTGAATGAGCCACACTGGAAAGCTAACAATGTAACTTCTTTCAAGGCATGCTGAAACACTACTACTGCCACATACATTTAATATTTTGTTAGACTTCTGCCTCACATACCAGGCCTTGATTTTATTTATGAATTTGAACATTCTGGCACGCGATCTCCAATGAGCAGAATCCCTGCACTCCCTAGGTGAGAATGTATCTCTCCTCTTGGTGGCCTAATTGACGCTTCTGACAAAAGCCCCCAAATGGACAAGTCAAGAAGACCCAGGCTTACAAAGACAAGGCATGCAAGGGAAGGGGGCCGAAGGGAAAAACATTTTGATGGTCAAGGTCAGAATGGGGGGGGGGTCCTTTAGGTTTAAAAGAAAATGGGTGGCTTCTACCAGAGTCCATTAAAGATATCCATACTAAGAAAACGTGTCATTAGAAATGCAGATGCACATCTTCAAATGGCGGGAACTGATATGTTGTTCATGTTTAAGGACAAATACCCCAAACCTTTTAAACGGTATTTTTTAAAAAAATAAAGCCTACCATCCATTGCTCGATGTCACCAAACTTAGCATCCAGACCACAATATTTCTACAGGCAGAAGGAGGAAAAGAAAGGAAGTCAAGGGTGAGTAGGACAGAGAAGCACAAGTTTTAAGGCCGTGCCCCCCCACACACACACACGCTGCAGCTCCCCCTCCCCCTGCCCCACATCCAGAAGATGTTTTGCTTTGAACGGCAAATGGCAAGAGGCCTCTACGGCAGACTCAGCCTGATTTAGGTGTGGCACAGATGTCCCCAGCAGTGGAGGCTGCTCTCTCAAAGACGAGTCTGATCTGGAAATAATGCCAGGACATCTTGGGTCCACGGGCATTAAAATTCACTCGCCTTCTAGCCAAGGCAGAAGGGAAGACAAAAGAGTGAGATATTACTGGAGCCAGAGCAGCTCTGACTTCCTCTCATCCTTGCACGGGGGCTATGCTAATCTTCTCCGTACTGTTCCCGTTTTAGTATATGTGCTGCAGAACCAAGCATGGACAGCTTTAACATAAATACCGTAAATAATTAAGCAAACATGACTAGAACGACTAAGAAATATTTCAGTTCAGGGTAGTAGTCAGTACAACAATCTGGGGAGGTGGGATTATTGAAAGTGTTCGCTGTGACCGAGTGGGCATGCCTTTTTCAAAAAACATTGGTGCAGGGGAAACTTATTCAACATCAAGCAACAAAAAAGTAACCATAAGCTGAATGGTTAGAGTGCCTGTCTCATCTTTTCCATAGTCTACAGATGGTTCAAAATGGACAAACGTCCCCTAGGAATTTATCAGAATCTGAGACCCTGACGGGGAGCTGTCTTATCATAGCCGTCCAGTCTGTCATGAATTGGAAAGGCTCCGTATTATTGCTAGAATATTGTAGGAAGTCAGCTCTCTCTTTCTCTTGATCCCTATGCCCCCACTTGGACCCAAGTTCCACCTTCAAGCTGGACTGACAGTTGTTCACTTGGAACGCAGTGTCACAACCACTGTGTGTTTTGCACCATACGACTCCACTACAGGAAGGATCATGGTTATGACCTTTAAAAAGCCCTATGTAGCCAGGGACCAGCACACCTATGGGACCATCTCTCCCCATATGTGCCCCGGAGAGCCTTGCGCTCTGTAGACCAACATCTCCTGGAGGTCCCTGGTCTGAAAGACATCTGCTTAGCCTCAACCAGGGCCAGGGCCTCCCAGTTGAGATCAGGGCCCCGTGGGACTTGTTACAATTTTGCAGAGCTGTTCTGCCAGGTCTTTGGTTGAGGTGGGGGACATCCAACCATCCCGTCCTCCCCTGTCCACCGCATCAGCTCTAGTCCTAAATTCAGCTTCTTGCTGGAGGTATTATGGATGCTTAAATTTTACTGCTAACGGCCATCTCATTTGTACTTTTTTAAACCAGGTTTTAGATTATGTTTTTAACCACCATTGTGTTTTATCTGTTGTGACCGCCCTGAGCCCACTCTGTGGGGTAGGGTGGGACAGAAACCTAATTAAATGTCTTTTGCACATTCCTCAAACATTTTTGCTACAGTGTGTAATGCTACTTCTCCACAATTATACCGTCAGCTTGTAGCTCATTTGGTAACACAGTTACTCCAGACTCAAGGATTTCAACTGTCAAGTTTCAGTAAGTCATACATGGCATGGAAGCTTTTTGACTACTCTGGGATTGGAATGACAGCCCCCAGAGTGGAATGACTGTTCCTGGGAGTAGCAGCTGTGCTTTGGGAATGGAATTCCTCTGGGGGCTGTCATTCCAACCCCAGAGTAGTCTATCTGGGCCCAGAGACCTTACTGGAAAATCCATTCCGCATTTCCTTTGCAACGTTTTTTGAGCTGCAATGTATTTCAGTGGAGTGGAGCTCAAGTAGTTTCAGTTACCAGAGTTTGTATGCCAGCTGAAGTTGTCTCCTTGCAAATAAAGGGCTGATGTTTTGAGCCAGCTTGCCTCTGCTGAATGAACCTGAGAACGGGTGCCTGAATGAGTGCTCTGACCTGGGAACCCACAGCCAAAGAGGGATGTTACACTGGAGAGCCACAGCCTCTCTGAGTTGAGGGGAAGGGAGCTTGCAATGCCCAGCCATTTCATGTTTTCCTAGGCTAAGAGCATTTTTTAATTTTTAATTTTTAGTTTTAGTTTCTGCTGTGATCCTTGTGCTTTATCCTGATGTTTTGTTTAAAATACTGCATTACCAAATCCCATTATGCCCCCACCTTTCCATTTTAGGCAGGCATCTTCTAAGGGTGGGGGGGGAGGTTTGGGAGGTGTCAGTTATCAAAGACTGTTAAATACACAAAATATGGAAAGAGTGTTGTGTTTTAAGCATGTTTGTATTTTAAGTTAAAAAAAACATTAATTGTGTTTGTTGGTATCATTTATAAAGTTAATATCTTTGCTATCTGGCATTACGTTTTATGACACACATGGTCTGGCCCAAAATCCCATTAATATAAGATCTGGCCCTCATAACAAATGAGCTTGACACCCCTGATATAAAGGATTTATATCTCCACATACCTCTTTATAAGTTACACTTGTATAAGTAGGTCCTGAACATCCACAACCTACAGGCCAGTAAATAAACATTTCTTTGGCCACTGTCTCACCTGTGCTTGGTGTATGACGCTTATGTGAAGTGCAAGAGGCAGCCCTCAGTAAGTCTCAAACTCAGAATATGTTTAACACCCCCTGAGGACAGGGGTACTGTGCAGAGTGCAGAGGGTTGTCCCACCAAAAAATGTTTTAGCACCCACTCCTGCCACCCCAGTGTCCCACTTTCAGCCCCTGTCTGAATAGCAGGGGCAGTTTTGATGTCCTTGCCAAGCTCCTACTAAAGCCGGCTTCCTTGCCCTCAGCACGTATGGAAACAAAGAAGTCAGATTTTCTGTTGGGTCCTTCCTTCTGAAACCAACAAAGCTGTTCCTATGCCAATATCATGTAGATGTGGAGAAGGAGGCTGCAGGCATACCATAAAGATGAATAAAGAAGTAACACTGTGAATATTGAACTTTTGATACTACCGCTGGAGAAAAAACCTGATAAGTTGTTCCCAAATGAGTTGGAGAAGAGTTTGCATTATTAAAGGGGAAATTCAGTATTCTTCTAAGTATTTTTTAAATGGTTTGGCAGGTAGACGTACACTAATTTTCTTTTTAACATGAGTACTTGGTGGTGGGGAGGGGAGCAAACAACACATCCCTGTGACAACTGCAGAAACACTGCAGCGATGTACATGCACTGCTGGAAATGGATGTCAATGTTTTCGAGGCACTAGTTAGAGCACTACAGAAACCTGCAAAGCTAATTTGATCTGAAACCAGGTGAGACAGACAATATACTGCCGACAATTACAATTCCACAATACCCTCTACAAGTCTGAAAAGTTGTTGCCTGTACACAGCCTAGGAGGAGAGCAGAACAAGAGTGTGCACACAGCAAGCACACAGCACTTCGGAAACATTTGCTCACTCTCCTGTTTTGTCATTTTTAACATGCATTAGCGAGTGGCCATTTAGCAAAAACATGCAAAAAATGTCATGAAAGCAGAAGGTCTGGGTTTCAGAATCCTCTGTGGTTTTCAAATGCACAAATGTAAAAAATAGCAACATGGCTACCAACATGGCTACCAGTATACACGTTGGGATACTGTCTTCTTTGCACTATACACCCTAGGGAGCACTTTCCGACACCTAGCAAATTGTTGGAAATATTTATTCTACACACCGTACTAATTAGCTAGGACGAGAGTTTACAAAACAAAAGCCTGTATCCGGTGCTGTGTGGCTGATGCTATCTACAGGGATGACTCCAAAGCCCTGTTCTGGAAGACAGTGGCCACCTCTTCAGCCTCGCATGAAGCTGCCTTCTACTGAATCAGACCTCTGGGACGCCATCAAGGACAGCCTTCTCCACTCAGACTGGCCACGGCTCTCCAGGGTCTCTGGCAGAGTTCCGCTTTTAACTGGAGTTCTTCGGGACTGAGCCTGAGGCCTTCTGCGAGCCAAGCACATGCTCTGCCACCGAGCCATGGCTCCTTTTCTTCTTTGGTCTGACCTCAGCCCACCCCGAAAGGCAGAGCACCCAATGCTCCTTCCCCCCTTTGAGCTTCCCAGGCACCCCTGACTTTTAAAATATTGGACTAAGAATGCCTCCGGATGGAGGTTCTAAGGATCTCAGGCATGCTGACCCCTAAACCACAAAGAGACTTTAGTCTCATCCCTCTGTGGCCAATCTCGGTGGTGGGGCGGGATGTGTCACTTAAAAGGAGTGTGACTGTGGCTGAACATTTGCTTCTTCCTTGAGACAGGCTTCTCTTCGTTTCTGATTTTGCAATGGTACTAAACTAACTGGGAGGGTGATAATTTTTTAACCATAACCAGATCAAATGTCCTCTTAGTTTGTGTTGAGCTAACAGTAATTTTTTATGGATTAGAAAGAACTGACAGCGCCTTAAAGAGGTGTAAGTATTTCCAAGTCTCATCAAGCAGATTTGTCACATGTTGCCAAGATGCCCAATGCAAAAGAAAAAAAATAGGCATGCAATCACACAAACGCTTAGAATACCCTACCTTTTGAACTTGATAGATCTACGCAGTGATGGGAGAGAAAAGAGAAACAGATAAGGTGGTAAGAAAGAATGCAAAAGCATACTGCACTTTAAGGCAAACTATACTTATCAAATATGCCATCTCCATGCTCGATAAAAAGTTGACAGGCCAACTTTCCAGGCTGGCACCAAAGGTGAAGGAAAACTGAACTGGACGAGGCCATTACTTTGTGCGGAAATCAGGGCAGAAGAAGCTGCAGAGGAGCGATGGACTCAGTAAGGCCCGGTCTCATATGGAGGCCAAGCAATAGGCTAGCTCCTCTTCTACTCCTCCAGAACAAGGATACTTGATGGGTTGCTGAGTTGGCCTGTAGCAGCAAACCCCTCCCCCACATACTAAACAACATACAACAACAACAACAACAACAACAACAGGAGTCTGGCTTCTTTACCTGTCCAAGACAGGAGCAAACTACCACCCTGCAACTTTCCAGTACAGCCACACTCTAAGAATAAATATTTATTTAGTATGTTTTTCTCTCATCCATCCTTCCTTTATGGAACTCAGGCTGCTATACATCTGTCTTCCCTCTAGAGACATGAAGGGGGGGGGGGGTTCAGGGGGAAAACCACAAACCTGTTTGGGTCCACCTCCCTGTTTTTCACCTCAAGGCCTAAAAATGGCTGATGGAAAAAATGGAAATTTTTGGGGGTACTGGAAAAAAACCCTAAGAAATATTTTCTGTTTTAGAATGAGGGAGATGCTTTTAAAGACAAGGTAGGCATCCATGATGCATTTCTGCACCCAGACGGATGCCTGACCTTCATTAGCTGAGTGGGCAGGACTTCCATTGCCTTCCCTTTTCCCTTTGACCAGAGAGTTCTCCCTTGTGGTTGACTGGTAACAGGTAGCTTCTTTTCCCTAAAGGGACCACAGGATGCACCAGCTTGTGGTTTTGTCTCTCAAGTACTGGGTAAATTTGCAATTTTAGTTGTAGGAAGCTAACGCATTTATAGCTTTTAAATTCCATAAATACGTCAAATATATTAAATAAATTATAAATGCTGCATTTTATGTTGCCAAAGCAGCAAAATTAGTTTAGATTTGACAGGACAGTGAGTATTGTCTATATTTCAAATTTTCCCAAAATTTCCATATTTTTCGGGGGGGGGGGGGAGGGGGAAAAAGCCCTGCCTAGGGGGAAAAAGTCCTGCCTCCGTGGCTTCAGATTTTCTGGAAATTCTACATCTCTGCTTTCCCTCCACCATTTTATCCCACAACCACCCTGTGAGGCAGGCTGCGGCAGCAAGAGGATGAGTGGCCCAACAACTTCCACGGCAGAGAGTTGAACATGGGTCTCCGGGATCCTCATCTACCCCCCCCCACCCACACACACACACACACAATGGCTGGGAGACGTGGAGCTGCCTTCTACTGAACCAGGCCCCTCTGGGTCCATCAAAGTCAGCACCGTCTACTCAAGTTTGGCAGCAGCTCTCCAGGGTCTCAGGCAGAGGTCTTTCCCGTCGCCTCCAGCCCAGCCATTTTAACTGGAGATGCAGGGACTGAGACAGGGACTCACTGTGTCAGGGCCATAACCAGTGCTGGGGCTTTAGGGGCTACACCCCCTATCGATGAAGGAGTGCCCCAGCCAGCCAGGCAGCCAGCCACCAAGTCCGTGGCGAGCCCCAGTGCCAGCCGGCCAGCGAGTCGGCACTTGGGGAGCCACCTTGCTGGCTTGCAGGTACAGATGCAGTGAGGCGCTGGGGCAGGCCATTAGAGAATGGCCCGCCCTGGCTCTTTACTCCACCTGCTCCCGTGCACCAGCCAGAGTGTTGGCTCTCCTCTCCGAGGGGCCTCAAAGAGCTCTCAGAGATCCGGCTGGCTGGCTGGCGCCTCACTGCATCTGCGTTTGCTTGGAGAGCCGAAGAGGCCTGGCTGCCTCCTCTTTGGCTCTCCTCCGAGGAGAGTCACTCATGTTGACGTCACTAGCGATGCCACCACCACCCCCGCCAGAAACTTTCCTGACGATGGGGCTGTCCTGTATACCAAGCAGAGGGACAACCCCCTGTGTCCTCTGAATTAATCTCTTTACTACATTTATCGCCTGCCTTTCTTACTGAGACTCAAGGCAAATTTCATGGTATACAACGATGCATCCAAATAGCACAAGGCATCCCATGGACAATGCTACAGGGTCAGGATTACAAACCTTACTAAATACAGAGAAAGTCAAAAACAATGCAAAAAAAGAAGAAATTAGAAAAGTAGAAAATGTAGTTAAAGCAAAACACATACAATAAGCACTCGAACAGACTATGGCCCTTTTCCTCTTATAAAAGCACCTTTGTGAACAATCCCATTATACTACAGTCCTATTCTCTTTATAAAAAACACCTTCCTGAACAATTCCATTTTATAAATACAGTCTTTTATTGCGAGGGTAAAATGGAGAGAAAAATGAGATCCCCAATGAAGCGAAAGGCAGAGTATAAATGAACTACATGAATAATTAAAACAACTGTGAACTACATGATCTTCTGTATGCTTTATTGGTTATGCCATCTCTGAACCAACATAAACTATTTATTCTGTACTACATTTAGCAGTGATTTTCAGTACTACTGTTAATCTTCAACATAGAAGAACACCAACACTTCTCAAAATAATATGAACTTACACTGAAAGAAACAAAATTTCTTTTAATTTGTACAATGGAAAGCATCAAATCTATAAGATTCCACTTCCTGCTTATCCAGTCGAAAGCCATTTTGCTAGTCTAAATTGCCAGGATAATTATATCCACAGCATACCATTCATACTGCCATGTAAAACATAGTTTTAACTATATTTATCCTGTTTCATAATGACACTTGAAGCCTGGCCTTTCTACACTAGATGGCAAGCAAAGAGTCCTGAGAAAACATATTCCAGCAAGCCTGTGTGAGACATCGCTTCAGTAGAAACAAGACTGTGACCGAATGAGCAAATGTACAAGCTGTCCCTTAAATTCAATGTTCTAAGGCAGGAGCAACTCCTCAATCTCCTCTAATAATAAAATTTATTTTTATTTTTAACAAAGAAACAGGACCTATATGGTTTAAAAGCAATTCTGACGTCTCTTATTTATTACAGCATCTGAAGAAGACTGCTGCATATGAAGGCCCGGGAGTCAAATCTGGCTCTTTAAAGAGTGTGTCGCTGGGTCTCCCAGCCACCTCCCATATAGGTGGTGGAAGTAGGGGGGGGGGGGGGGGGGGGGGGGGGGTGAGGTGACCAAGAGAGGGAAGGAGTATGGGGGTATCATGAATGCCCCATTCTACCCACCACCGCCGCCACTTTTTAGGTGGATTCTCATTGTTCGTGTGGCAGCTGGCTAGGTCAGGAGCAGTCCCCGGTTCTCTCATCTGCTGCTCTTGTCCTGGCCAAAGCTGCCACTCATGGCACAGCTGGCGTTGCCCTTCACGCACGGGGCACACGAAGAGCCAGGCTGGGGGAAACACACACAATAAAGCATCACTTCCTGTCAAAGATTCCCAGGCCAGGCCAGGGCTAAGAACCTGTTAGACTCTGACCTGACAGGAGGCGCTGCTCATAATTCTTCCTGAAGCAGCCCCCAGACAGTTCTCAGGTTTTTGCCGGAGTCGTGGCCTTGGGAGAGATAAGACTTTAAACATGGCTAGCTGGGCCTCATAGTCTGTCATGACCTGTAGTAATGCTTGTGTGCCTGTCACGTGTGTTTGGGCGGTGGGACCCCTTTCCCTGATTATCAATCCTTCGTTTTTGCTCGCCAGTCCTGACAAAGACGTTCACCTATACAGAAGTCCAAATCTTACCAATAAACCTTAACCAAGGAAAATCATGTTAAGAGTGGTTCCTCTGAAGGCCTGACAGAACCTTTGTTTTAAGGACTGCAGAGCAGAATAATTATAAAACCCTGGGTGTGACTCCTCACACACTGGGGTTTGGTAGCTGCCACCACCCCTTTAGTCTATCCCAACAATTAGAAGCCAAAGGGCAACCTTCCAACCTTCCAGGGACTAAGCAAGAAAGTCAGCCCTGCAAGGTGGGCTTGCAGAACGACTTTCTCACAAAAGCAATTAACATGGTAGGTGGTCACCCATTCTAAGACACTGGATTTAGATTGAAGCCAGTTGAAGACAAATAACCACAAAAGATGTTACCCAAGAGAAGCTGTAGGTGTTCAGCAATCCAAAGTGTCTCTTTCCAGAGTCAGAACAGGCCAATAAGCTGTTTGGGCTGCAAAAGCAAGCTTTCAAGATGGCTGCATTGAGCAAGACAGTGACTGCATGGTGTAGTCTCAGGTGGTCACCATCTGATCCCACAATGAACTAAAAACTAACTTCTTTATGGCCAAGGGTCCAATGTGGTCTCAGGCCTGAAAAACCAATCAGATCCCTGGGTGGTGATGTAATTGGGACAAATTACCTAAGAGGTGGTCTGACCAGGAAGAAAGGAAACGAAACCTATCCACAGCTAGACTTGCCCCTTTCCCATAGGTGCAAATCATGAACCTTAATTGAATGGGGGGTGGCTAACTGGGAGTCAGCACTAGGCCCTCAACTCCTCTCTGCAGCTGTGTTATCTAAGAACCACAAGGTCAGCTCATTCCTGTTCAGCACTATTTTTCTGAACTCTGTTAATTCTGATGTAGGTTACAGCCTGAACCAATGTTTGAAACAGAACAAGAAATTTTAGGGGAACCACTTTCTTGACACTTTATAACTTGTGGATGCACTGCTTGACATAAGAATGTGACTTGGAGTCCCTGAAGACAAATCATAATTTGGCACACCTTGAAACTTCCTGTCTCTCTCTACAGGTGTGAATCATAGAGTTGGAAAGGACCTCCAGGGTAATCTAGTCCAACCCCCTGCACAATGCAGGAAATTCATAAATACCTCCCTCTCCACACCCCCAGTGACCCTTGCTCCATGCCCAGAAGATGGCAAAAAAAACCCCTCCAGGATCCCTGGCCAAACCAGCCTGGAAAAAAATTGCTTCCTGACCCCAAAGCG